TAATAAATATTTGCTATTATAGTCATTGTTGTGATGAGGAGAAGAAGGAGAAAGCATTCTCAGCCATCCAAAGAGTGGTACTACCCAAATGGCATCTTCATAGTGACTCCATTTTGCAAAGGGCATGTGTGTTATGTCATTTGATCCTCACAGTCGCCCTATGAAATAGTGTCCTTTTCATCCTCATGGTAGAGATGAGGAAATTAAGCCTCCAGTGTGCTTTTCTGGGCATATATCTATCTCTACCTTTCAACTCCTGACCTCATGCTTTTGCAATTATATCTCTCTTCCTATTCCTTTGTTTCACAAATTCCAATTTTGGAATAGTGGTGAGATGAAGAAACACAGGTTCAGGCTGTAGAACACAGGTTATATGCCCGACACTTGTCACTCTCTTTCTCTGGCCCAGCCAGAACTGGAGTAGAGCCAGGGAACGCTACACCTTGGGTGATGCAGGCCTTTACCTGAGAGCAGGTTTGGAGCTCACCCAGTAAGTAAGTGGCCATTAGTTTGGGTAACTATATAGTAACCTCTGTAATTCAGCCTCTTCTCTGGGAAATGTGGACTCCCAACCACTTGCAGTGGTACCAAGACTTCCCAGTAGGGTATGAACTAAAGGCACATCTTCCAGCTAACCCTGGAATTTCCGACTGTGCTTTACAGCGTGCGATCTTTCATCCTGAAAAGCTATGACAGGGCTTCTGTGACAGTTCTCTGAGCAGAAGGTGGGGGGCACGTGAACTAGAGGCCAAAGACCAGATTGGAACTGAAGGTCTAGACAAGCCGTGGGTAAACTATGGCCCGCAGGCCGGATCCAGCCTGTTTGAAATGAATAAAACAAACAAACAAAAAAAGACCGTACCCTTTTATGTAATGATGTTTACTTTGAATTTATATTAGTTCACACAAACACTCCATCCATGCTTTTGTTCCGGCCCTCCGGTCCAGTTTAAGAACCCATTGTGGCCCTCGAGTCAAAAAGTTTGCCCACCCCTGGTCCAGACCTAAATCTTCCCCTTATTTCCTGGGCGGTTTTAGATGAGTCCCTTTCCCTGAACCTCCGTTCTCTGTGTGGACACCGTGAATCCTGGGCCACACTCAGAAATCTCAGGTTCCCTCCAGTGTGTAGTAGACTGAATTAAGGGCCACCCAGAGACACCTGGTCCTCATCTCTGAAACCTATAAATGTTACCTTATAAAGAAAAGGGGTCTTTGTATTTGTGATTAAGTCAAGGATCTTCATGTGAGGAGATTATCCTGTTTTATTTAAGCAGGTCCTACATCAGATCCCAAGTGTCTTTTTAAGAGAGAGGCAGGGTGACATTAAACACAAGAGAAGGTGAAGATAGAGACAGAGAATAGAGCAGCCGTGGGCAAACTACGGCCGCGGGCCGGATTCGGCCTGTTTGAAATGAATAAAACTAAAAAAAAAAAAAAAAAAGACCGTACCCTTTTATGTAATGATGTTTACTTTGAATTTATATTAGTTCACACAAACACTCCATCCATGCTTTTGTTCCGGCCCTCTGGTCCAGTTTAAGAACTCACTGTGGCCCTTGAGTCAAAAAGTTTGCCCACCCCTGGATTAGAGGCAGTAATCACAAAGGAATGTGGTAGCCAGCAAAAGGAAATGTTCACTACAGCCTCCAGGGGGAGTGTGGCACCGCCAACACCTTGATTTCAGCCCAGTGAAACTGATGGTGAGCTCTGGCTTCCAGAACTCTATGGAATAAACATCTGTTGTTTTAAGCCGCCATGTTTGTAATTTGTTATGGCAACCAGAGGAAATGAAGGCACTGCCCTCTGAGTCAATTGTCTCTCACCTGTTCTCCCTGCCCATCTATCCAGCAAGGCTTGTAGTCGCACTTGATGCCTGTTCCAAAACAGAACAAGACACGTGTCTTTCGTTAAGCCTGCAGAAAGGCGGAGCGCTCCTTTAGTCTCAAGTTCTCTATTTCTTTACTTGGCACGTGTTTTCTGTGGTTGCCACCAACACAACGCAGCTTGCTCCCACTACGACGTCCAGTTTCTCATTGTTGTTTTCCTAAGAGTCAGTCTCCAACGGAGTACCTTGCATCAGAAAAGACAGTAATTTAATGACCTTGAGGTCATCAGTTTGTGAGTAACCAAGACAACATTCATTTTAGCAGCAAGTATATTCATTTAATAAATATTTCTTGAGCATTACTCTGTGCCAGCCGTAGGCAACAATAGGGGACCTGGGACAATAGGACACCTGACAGGAAAAGTACTTATTCTAGTGGAGCTGGCAGTGGGATGAGTCACACATGGTGAAGCTTAGATGTATGTACTCAAGCTTCAGTTGCAGCAAAATTCTAATTTTCCAAGATTGTGAGCAGGGCACCAGATCCATGTCTCTGCTGGGTGAACTTCTTCACAGAATATTCCCTGCTTGAACGTCTATAAAGAGTCCTGGGAAATATTTTTAGCACACAAGAACTCTCTTGGGGCCAAGAGAGCTTAGCTCATAACAGACTCTTCTTATTTCTCTACATTCCACCAGGCTATACCTATGCTACCCCTTCAACTCAGAACTCTGGGCTTTGAGTAGAATGCTGAAGGAATGAAAATACTATGGGGATGCCCTCACCTATGTGGCTCAGTTGATTGGACATCATCCTACGCACCAGAGGTCACCAGTTCAATTCCCAGACAAAGCACATGCCCAGGTTGCAGGCTCGATGCCTGGTAAAGGATGTGCAGGAGGCAGCTAATTGATGTTTCACTCTCATCAATGTTTCTCTCCCTCTCCCTTCCTATCTCTTTCTAGAATAGATAAAAACATATTAGAAGAGGAAAAAACCACTCTGGAATATTCTGATTGTCCTCCCTTGTTTAATTCTATCCTTTTTATCATTTCTCCAGATCTGAAGTGCTCTCAAAAGAAAAAGAAAACAGCAGAAACACTAATGGGATTTCCTCCTTCCCACACATCCTTCTTTGGGGCAGTGACTCAATGTCCTGTGCTGAAATGGTGCCCCCTGCCACTGGGGGCTCAGGGGGACAACCTGAGTCATTTCTGATGTCTGTTTTTCCTTCATACCCCACCTCTAAACATCCCAGTGTCATTCAAAATATACCCAAAATTCTACTTCTTTCTACTTCTTCACCTCCACCTGTGTCCAAGGCACCATCACTTCCTATTTTGATTTGAAAAAAAAGAAGTAAAAGGCCAGGAATACAATCCATGGGAAGGACTTGAAGCTTCTTTCAACTCCAGGAATCTAGGCATCTATGAATGGCCCAGCAGCCTAGATCACCTGCATTGTGGTTTAGGGTCTAAGGAAATTTAGTTGGTGCTGCATTCTTGAGATTGAGTTGACTTTTCCCTCCCGCATTTCTTCCTGTGTAGGCAATGGACAGCAGAGCACACGGAGTTAACCTGGGACATAGTAAATGCTCAATAAATGTTTGTTGAATTAGCAGTTGGATTTTTATGATAAGCAACAAAATATGACAATATAAATTCCAAAAAAAAGGATACAATTGACTACCTATCACTCCTGATCTAAAGCAGCACCACACTTAATTGGGATACTCTTAGTGTGTGGTCAACATGGGGGGTGGGATAGGAGATCGATGGGACATTGGCTCCTGGAAGTGATCTAATTATTGTAAGGATTTTCAGAATCTCGGATGTGGGTGGCACTATAGAAACCATCCAAAGAAAATAGTGAATCAGATTTTGTCCATAAGATTCTCGGTGTGCCCATTAACCCCATCTTCTGGCTATTTCGTTTCCTTTTTAAAGAGGTAAACCATTTATCTTCTGAAATGTGTATGCTGTGATCCCCAAAGACTTACCATTGATTACACATAGTTGACTCTTCTTCAGTCGAGGAGAGATCTGCAGTATGATGATTGGGGGCAAAGGGGGGTAGCACACAGGGTGGTGCTGTGGGCCTTTAACAACATTCATTCTCTGTATTTTTTGCTCTCAGCTCTCACAATAGGCCTGTGCTTATTTCAAGGCAAGCACAGAGAGGGGGGAATTTGAGAATTTGATGGAGACCAAAGTAACAGCAGAAGCACCTGACCTTCCAGGGGAAGAAAGAGGCTGAAAGGAAGCCATGCAGGGCTACCTAGGGTCCAGGGTGTCTACACACGGCAGGCATGCACACCCCGAGGCTCCTTATTTTGCAGTCTGTGGAAGCTCTCACTCCCCCTCCCCATCTCACTCTCACCCCTTAGGCCAGTGATTGGGAGGAAGCCTTAGCTCCCACCAGCTGGATGTGGAAGCCTAGCCCAGCACCAGGGGTGTAGCAAGGGAGCTCATGCTGCAGATGAAAACTGGAACTCTAAATACATATTTCACCAAAACGTTATTGTAACCTGCATTAAACGTCTTGGAGTTTCTCTCTAACCACAGTTACAGCATCCAGGTCTTCAGCTGAGTTGGCAGTAACATGGGCTCCTGTGGGCCAGCCTCAGAACCCATCATCCAGCGAACAGCACTGTTTCTATGGAAACCTGCAGTCTGTGACCCAAATACCCAGGTTAAAATGTTGCTGTTTCATTTCACTCAATGTGTGGGTCAGTTGGGGATTGCCAATATTAGATAAAAATTGGGCTTCTGGCCCAGCCAGCATGGCTCAGTGGTTGAGCGTCGACCTATGAACCAGGAGGTCATGGTTTTTGATTCTCGGTCAGATTACAGGCTCGATCGATCCCCAGTGTCAGGCGTGTAAGAGGCGGCCTATTGGTGATTCTCTCTCATCATTGATGTTTCTATCTCTCTCTTCCTCTCTGAAATTAATAAAAATATGTTTTTTTAAAATGTGGCTTTTTTTTTTAAGATGTGGGGTTTTTTTCATCCAGATTATCCATTCCTGTCACCAGAGTCATGGGGGATCCTGTATTCTGAAGAGTCTGTGTTTAGATGGAAACTTCTGGTATAAAGAATTAGCCAAGACTAAGATGGAAAGCCTTCCCCAGCCCTTGATTATGTGCTTCTCCTTGTATTTCCTGAACCCCTGCAGGGCGAGCTTTGCTGAGACTTACCGACAAAAAGCTTGAGCGAATGGGGATCGCCCAGGAAAACCTCCGGCAGCACATCTTGCAACAGGTGCTCCAGCTGAAGGTGCGGGAAGAAGTCAGAAACCTACAGGTACTCAAACAAGGTACCCGGCTCTTCCTAATGGATGGTCGGAAGGGGAGATGGGAGGGATACAGAAGAGCCAGGGAGAAACTGTCATTGTTTCTGTTTTGTTTTCGCAGCATTTTCTTTATTTAAAAAGTATATAGATTTAAAGGCCACTTCCCACCTCAAACTTCCCTTTCTTCATAGCTCGCTATGGGGGAAGGATGCACAAATCCGTAATGGATGGGTGAACAGTATTGCCTTAGCTAATTTCAAGGTCATCACATACTACTATGTAGGTTGTGCACCGCACCACCCCAGCGAGTACCCATCACAGAGATCAGGGTACGGTTGCACTCCCTAGAGTTGTACAGTATACACAGTCCACACAACTTATAGGGCAGCCCAGGCTATCTTAGTCTGGGAGAGCCTTGGAATTTGAGTGATTTCATCGTTCATATGACCAGTACTGTAAGCAGTATTTTTGTTGTGTTACGTTTTATTTTGCCCTTCACTGACTAAAGGGAGAAAAACATTTTACAGGTATGTCTATATGTATATACACACACACACACACTGTAGTGTTTGTGAGAACCCTATTTAGAATCTTGAAAATAGAACCATTTAAAAAATAGACTACAAGGAATTTAAAACTGGAATCTTAAGTCCATATAATTCTGAACAAGAACCATTAATAACTTCAATATGTTGAGAGCACTTAAGAGTTCTATAACTGGAAGTGACAGCGTAAAGCTGGAATGTGAAGAAAACCTTAAGTGACACTGTATGGAACTTGTATGTCTAGATAAGAGTTGGTTGCTATCAACCTCCATTGGCTATAACCTTTTATTTATTTCATTTTAATGCCCCTTGTATATTGTTTTAAATGAAAGGATAATAAGGCATGTATTTTTGAGAGTCTTGGGTATTTTTCAATCTTTAGAATATTGTCATTGCATGCATACTGATATTGGAGAAGTCTGGGTCAGCCAAGTTTCACGTTATTACATTTAGATTAGCCCAGTGATATACTCCATTTGCCTAGAGGAACTAATGCGCTGCCTGAAAGATGACTGCCCAGAAGGATAAATGTAGACTTTTGAGTGGTATGAAAATAGTATGGTTTATTTGTTATGCATTATTTGTACTTGTCTCCAGAGACTTCCACTGGTAAATGTATGGTTACATTGAGTGATTTAAATTTGAATTTGACACATTGATATACATTTAAGTTGCTGCTAAAAAGTAAATAGAGATTCATCACAAGAAAGTCCAATGCAGTGCCATTTATGAAACTGAAAAATTAGAAACCACCTAGAGGTCCAGTAATATGGAAAGGATCAAATAATTCTGTTTAAATTCATAAGATCCAGTATCATGGATCATTCACATTACACCTTCAAAGAATATATAACAACATGAGAGTGTAGTCAAAGAATTAATAGGGGGGAGACCATATATAAAATTTTCTTTAAACGAGAGCCCAATTTTATTAAAAAATTATATTTTTATATGTACATAGAAAAAGGGATGCAAATGAGCATGCCAATATTTTGATAATGGTTCTCCCTGGGTGGTGGTATTGTGGGTAATTTTTATGTTTTTCTTTATATTTTTCTGTATATTTCAAATGTTCTAGTATAAATCCATTTTACAGTTATAATAAGAAAAAACACACGCATTTTTTAAAGCTTCAGTTTGGTGTCTGAGGTTTCCTCCACTCTTTTGTTTTCCTCCTGTGATGATATATAAGAAATGAGACCTAAATTTATTATGTGTGCCTGGGACTTGTTTTTTTTTATCTCCGCTACTGTCAGCCTGCAGTGTGTTTGCTTTGCAAAATCATTTTCTACAGCTTTCATCGCCCTAGATGCATAATATATAAGATTTTTCCTGAGATAGTACTCAAGTCTATTAAGCTAAATATATGTTTGTGTTCTGGGAAGGTAATGCTAAGTTCAGCCTTTTCAATTCAGTTGTTGTCATTTTCTTTAGCTTTCAAAAGCTGTGCATTTTGAATCCTTGCCTTCTATTCCCCTTAGAAGAGGTCACATTCTCCAGCTCTTGGATATTTTGTCTGCACTCATAATACTGTTTTTATTGCTTGTCCTTTACATGTTAATGTTCAAACTCATTTTATGTTAGGCAGCCTTTAGAAAATCCATAGCCTTATTGAAAAGATGTTTTTTAAAAAAACATAAAGCAAAAAATTTGTTTTTGTTTTATTTTGTTTTGTTGACTGATAACAGAAGTTCTAAAGACAGCTGGGGTTCCTTAAAATATTTTGGGTCTAGGTTTGCTATAGAAGTATGGAAATTGGACTTTTGGTGGTGAACACGCTATAGAATATTATACAGATACTAGAGGCCCAGTGCACAAGTTTTTGTGCACTGGGGGTTGGGAGCGGGGTGGGGGAGTGTCCCTCAGCCCAGCCTGTGCCCTCTCACAGTCTGGGACCCCTCAGGAGATAACGACCTGCTGGCTTAGGCCCGCTCCCGGGTGGCAGAGGGCAGGCCCAATCCTTAGGTGCCTGCCCCACAGCTCCTGGTCAGGCTCAGAGCAGGGCTGATTGGGGATTTGGGGCGTCACCCCCTGTCATGCACAGAGCAGGGCGGATCAGGAGGTTGAGATGCCACCCCCAGTCACGCTCAGGGTAGGGCTGATTGGGGGGTTGGGGACACCGCCACCT